GGATTCTACCTGTCCAGCTTGAGGGCTGGGCTAAGGCGCGCATAAGCAGCCTGCCTGGGGAGGGGCCACACTCCAACGGTGGTAGCAGAAAGGGCACTGGGTAGCAAGTCAGGACCCTGGGGTCCAGTCCCTGGTCTGCCACTTAGTAGCCGCATGTCCTTACACAGAGAAAATCTCCTCTAGTGTCTCAGTGTCTATGTGCGAGAACGTCAGTGTGTCATTCCTACAACTCCTGGGGTCCTACAAGGGTCACATGAAGCAGCAGTGGAGTAAATGCTTTGAAAATGGAAACTTTCTGGTGGGCCCATATGGAGAGGCTGGCAAGAAAGTGTCCCCAGGCAGCATGGATGGTCCAGGTCCTGAAAGCCATCATCTGAATGGGACTGACCTTCCTGTTCTTTAACCAGGCATTGGACTGGCCTCCAGGATTTGCCCCCACCTTCTCTGCCTGCCTTTCTGCAGGCACCTTCTGCTCCAAAAGTGTAACCACGTGCTGTGCTTTGACCTCCAGGCATTGGGTTAGCCACCTCCTTCTCTGAGGAATGCCAGAAACTTGGCCCCCTTCACTTGCAGAAATCCAGATTTCCCCCAAAAGATGTGCTTTGTCTATGGCACTTCTCTGAGTCCTCTCTTGGGGGCGTTGGTGACATTCTGGTTTCAGCTCAATTTTTATCAATATTTCATCTCTTTCTAGAGAGAGCCATGGAAAGGACCACTGCAGTCTCCAAGCTTTCATTGGGAGTATGTGTGTTGTGTGTGTGCTCAAGTACATGTGTGTTAAATACAGGGGCCCAGTGGAAAGAAAACAGGTTTTAATGTCCAATAGATGTGGATCCAAATCCTGACTCTGCCATATTAATCAACTCATTGCATGCTATCTATTAATGCCTACTTGGAGTGACCTTGAACAAATTATTGACCTTTGGGGTCTCAGCTCCTTCACTTGTCCAAATGGAATCATGATGTTCATGTCGAAGGGTTGCTGCAAGAGCGGGCAATGATGTGTGTCTGCCTGCCTCTGTGTAGTCCCACATTAAGCCCTCCCTCAGGGGGCCCAGTTACAGCATTTGATGACTCATGTTAATACTGCCATGAACATTCCATCACTTCTGACTTCTCACTGGCTCAAAGGAGCGTGACGTGCATGTCTGGCCATTGTGTGGTCCCCTGACAGGAGCAGTCCAAGCCTTGTTACCCTGATCAGGCGGGCTGGATTCTTGAGTCCCTTCATGGCAGGACAGTGGGATCGTTGTCAAGGCCTGGACAGGACATGCATCTACCTTCTCCAGTGAGTGTGATCTCACTGCCAGTGTCTGGGGCCATGTTGGAATCTGTGCTCAGGGAAGCCCAGCCTGGCTGAAGCCAAAGGGGTAGGGGACCTGGTCACTATGGAGATCAGCTCTCCCACAGCCCCACTGGGAGCAGAAATTTTTATGCAAAACCAGAAGAAAATCAGCGCCTGTTCTTTAGGAAACTGAGTTATTATGAGTGTCTTTCTGGCATTTTAACTTTTCAGTGTTGCCTTTAACAGTTCAGAAAGCAAATGAACTTCAAAATTATGTGTGTGTGTATTCACTGGCTCACTGCTGTTAGACCTACCTCCCAGGTCACCCACATCATTTTGCTGTTGTAAAGTTGAGATACTTTTAAGTTGCTGACCAAGGACACCCTCTTGAAAAGGTGGCTGAGGACCTCTGGAGTATGCAGAAAGAGCCAAGCCACGGAGCTGGAGGTGCTGGCTTCATCCCTTACCAACTCTGTCACTTAACCTCTTTGAGTCTCTGTGTCCTCATCTCTAGCATGTGGGCAGTGATAAGCTCTTCTTCCTGTCATTGTTGCAAGAATTAAATAAAGTATGATAACGTTTGGACATGTCTCATAAAACTCCAGTGTGCTGTGAGAATATGCATTAACACTGTACATTTTGTACTTCCTACTAACACTGATGACACTTCAGTGAGTGCCTCCAGGCTAGAACATCAGGCCGTTGTTTGAAGATGTGCCCAGATGATGGCTAGGCATCCACCTGCCCAACCTGGCCACTTCTCATAGAGAGCGCTCCTCAGAGGGCAGCCATGGACCACCTTCATCTGAATCACCCAAGGAACTCACAAAAAAATGCAGATCCACAAAGCCTCTGATTTGGAAACCTCTTCATTGGCGGAGGTGATCCAGGAATCAAAATCTTTAACCAGCACCCCAGGTTTACCAGGAGGTTCTGATAAACACTAAAGTATGAGATCACCAATCCAGTGGTGACTCCCAAAACACATTGGTTGATTTATTTACTACACAAATAGTACTTGGGCACCATCTTATTCTGCTATAACAGAATACCTGGGACTGGGTCACTTATAAAGAACAGAAATTTATTTTACCCTATTTCTGGAGTCCAAGATTGAAGGGTCAGAATCTGGTGAGGGCTTCTTGCTACATAATCCCATAGTGGGAGGTGGAAGGGCAAAGAGAGGGTGTATGTGTGTGCACGTGAGGGGGGAAGGTGCAAAAGGGTGACTGAACTCATCCTTTTATAAGGAACCCACTCCCAAGATAGTGGCATTAATCCATCCATGACCCCATGACGCAAACACCTTCCACTAAGTCCCATCTCCCAACACTGCCACATTGGGAATCAAGTTTCTAACATACTAACTTCGGGGACACATCTAAACCATAGCAGGCACCTATCTCATGTTACGGGCTATTCGTAGGGGGCACATCTTTGGGAACAGGGGAGGCATACAGATTAACACCTCACTCTGATGTCAGATACAAGTATCTAATGAAGACAGAGCCAACCCTGAAATCTGTAGGCCACATAGGGGGAACAAGGGATGAGGAGATTTTTGGCCTTCTGTTCTGTTTCCTTCTCTGGGAAACAAAGCTGCACATATACAATATCTTACTTATTGCTCACTACAGCTCTGAAAGGGAAGTAACAAAACTCAGGCTCAGGGAGGTTAAGTAACTTGCCCAGGGTCCTGTGCAGCCGGTAAGTAGGGTACTGGCCAATGTTTAACCACAGGCTCTGGGGCACGGGGATAGTGAGCCCTGATTTGTAGTTTGATGATTTCTCTGGTACAGAAACTCCCACCATAGCAGATTTCAAGCTACCGACGTGCTGCCACTGAAGCGGAGTTGGGGAGAGATGCCCCCTGGGCCCTTGTGAGTGGTATATGCCAGCTCCAGCGCTCCACTCTATGCAGCTGTCACTCAGTCACAAAACTGTCAATGAGCGTCATCTGTGGAGGTGCAGAGGAGCCAGGGCATCTTTTCTCCTGCCCTCCCAAAGCCTCACGGCACGAGCATCTACGATGTGCTTGGTACTATGTAAAGGGAGACGACAAAGTATGTTGAGGTCTTTACCTTGAAGGGGTGGGCTCCACAGTTTCCTCGGTGAACATGTCCTTGCCATGGCTTATTTTATCTACTATATAGAAGCCTGGTGATGTCTAGTCACCACCGGCCACACCATGAGGCTCCAGGATAGGGTAGTTTGTGCACAGGACAGGGACCTGAGGTTGCTAACGTCGTGCATGCAGGGGTCAGCGGCAGGAGAGGCATCCCATGGAGGTGAGAGGGCTGCGGAGGCTCTCAGGGCTGCTGCCCATCAGTCCACCCACATGCCTTCCCCACGAGGTCTCCATCGAGGACAGAAGAGCCGCAGTCCCTGCATAGTTTCCTGAGGGAAAAGTCCTGTGGCCTTGACCAGGCCATGCCAGCCACCATCCTCCCCATTTCTGAAGAGTTCCGGTATGCTGTGTCATTCAGGTCCCTCATAAACTTGAACTTGCTGCCTCAGCAGACCCCAGGGCAGACAGGTGTGCGATTTCAAGGCTGATAGAAGGCAGCTGCTGGAACATGGGGTCGGGAAGGCTGAGTGTCAGCCACACCAGGGCTGCTGCGCCAGGCAGGCAGGCATCCCCACCGGGAGCACTCAGATAAAGGTCTCGCCTGGCCGAGGGGATATGCAAGGGTTATCACAGCGGGCTTCAGTGTCCCTCCAGTGGGTTTGAGAAGGCTACTGAAGCTCTGGCTGATAGGGAATGGCACAAAGGCACTGTGAACTCCAGGAAGGCAGCATCTAGCCTGGAGACAGACTGGGGAGCTCCCCAGAGATATCTGGGGCTTGGCCCTTGGCTGTGCAAGACAGAGAGATGTGGAGTCTTTGCCCTCTCAGCAGAAGGAGCCTACCCAAGCTCCCCCAGCTCAGCCCAGAGATGTAGGAGCACCAGCTCTGGGAAGCCCAGCCGAGGGGCACGTGGGCTAGGACCCCCATGTCATGGCCTGGCCAGGCTGGCATTCAGGTTGGGGTAGGTAGCCCGAGGCGTGAAGGTGCCCAGACATGCCCCCTTTTCCTCAGAGAGATTTCCTTGACTCAGCGGGTCTTTCACACACACAGGGCAGGAGGTGGGGGCGGCGGGGGAGGGGCGCAGGGAGCCAATCGCCCTGCATTGGAGCCTTCAGGGCTGG